GGTGTCGTCGCCGGGCATGAGCCCGAGGAAGCATGGAGGGTCCGAGGTGTGGCGGAGTCGGATCAGGAGACGTTCACTCTGCAGGCCGCGTTACCAAAGATGATCCCATTCCATCGTACCATCTCCGCGCCGTCTCCGCCTCCTGTAATCAAGCAAGTTCATCGAAGCATCAACATGCTGGCCTGTAATTCTATTACTGACTAACCCTTACAATCGACAGCTTCTTCTCATTGTAATGCTTGCATTCTAGAACGGGGGACTATGAAGCTGCCCAACGAGATTGTATCGTTACTATAGCAGTGAGTACGACGAGGGAGGCGTTAAAGCAGGATGATGTGAGCAGCATTATCACCAGGCCCTAATTATACCATTTTCACTTTGAATTCACCCCTTTTCAAACCAAATTCACCCCTTTTCAAACCAAATTCACCCACCTTCCAAATTCACCACACTTATTAGGCCGCGCAATTCATCAACCAGATCACGCCAGACACTACTGCGAGCCCCGCCCCGACGGCCACGCCTACTTGTCAGCGCGGACATAGATTTTCAAATCTTGTTTCATAACTTCTGCTTATGTGACTTTTCTTATCTTTTGCTGTTTCCCACAAACACTTTGACTGAAAACGACTGGACATCGACACATGGCCGACTCCGCTCATTCTCTAAAGGGTTTGGCAATCTAGGCTCCGCCCCCTTGACCACGCCCTTTTGCTTTCTGATTTTGCATTTTCGGACTGCTGCGTGAAGCCCCGCCCACTGTGAGAGGCTCCGCCCACTTTGGAGAAGCCCCGCCCACTTTGGCAAATGGAAGGGAACAGGGGTCGCATCGAACGAGAAAACTCAGCGGGTTGCATGTGGCAGAGCTTCCACATCACGATGATGTTTCCCGAGGCATCTGAAGAGGATAAGTCCACTTACCTCAAGTTTTTCTCGTGGATAGCTGAAGTTCATCATCTTGCTAGCAATTCCTTGACGTTGATGTGGTGTACTTACGCTTAGGATTTCCCTAAACCAGAGCGAGAATTTTCTTCTCCCATGTCCAAAATCATTAGTTGGCACATACATATGTATAACTTTCTTAACCTCTTCTGGCACAAGGTCGAAGAACGAGTTGTGCAGCTCATTAAGAATCCATCCTAAAGAAAAATTCATGAAGGAGGAAAAAAAGAAGATTTGAATTACACTCAGCTATGCCCTTGATTGCTCACAACTGCTTTTTAAAGCACTGTCCGCGATCAGGTCAGTCGTCATCCGGGCAGTTGATTAGGCGGTCAAGGTTCGCAGACGCGGCTGCGGCGCGTCATGACCGCGGCGATCAGCTGCTTCCGGCCTATTTAGCCATTTTCTCCCTAATTTCCAACTGTAATTAAACTCCTTTTTATTTTCACTGTTTTCCTTTAATGAAGGCCTACTAGAACGTAGATACTGTTTTTTGTTTTGTAATGAAGTTTTTTGCGATTTTTAGGCATTTGTTTGATTGTTTATTTAACTATTTAGTAGTTTGCAAAAATTAGAGAGATCTTCAATCATAATATCAGCCTTCGTCAGACGACGAAACAACCGCCATGAGAAAGCAGACAAAAACCAGTGAAAACTAGGGGAGAAAATGCTAAAAATAGGTGGAAACAGCTGATCGCCGCGGTCGTGAGCACCGCAGCCGCGTCTGCAACTCTCTGACCGCCTAATCAACTGCCCGGATGACGACTGTATAAAAGTTGAACATATGGCGTCGGGAGTGTAGTGTGGTCTACGAAGTATAGGTTTCGAGTCCAAAAATTGTAAGGCAGGGGCGCTATTAGTGCAAGGTTCAATAATAGTGTATAGGTTTCAATAACGCTTCTTTTTTCCACTGACTCCCGCCTCGAGGCGCGCTCTTCCAGTGAAAACGAGTGCACACGAAAAAGCATGAAAAATCGTCCACTTGTTCGTCCGTAGAGTGTTCGAGGCGAATCTGCTGTGCGATGAGGGCGTCCATGTTGGAGATTGAGCTGGGCACGTCCAAATTTGACCCAAGCGTGGCGTTCATCTAGGGCGGTTGCCCCTGTTTTTGCTGCTTTTTCTTCGCCTAATGCTACAGTCCTCATCATTGCGGACCGGTGGCGTGTCAGCCAGTATGAGTGTGCACACTGTTGAAGCCGTTCTCAGCCTTTTGTTGAAACGCGTATGCGACAAAAAGTGGTAGAAAACGAGTAATACGAAGGATATAATACAGTAATGTCACTTGCCCGCTTCAACAACTGGTGCAGAACGACTTTGGCACAGCGCCAAACGCAGCCAGCAATCTGACCCATGCCAGGGGGCGGGGGGGGGCGGCCCACGGTACCGCCAATGATGAGGTATGTAGTTATCAGAACAACAGCTTCTTCTCTAGCAAACCAGTAAATCCGCTATCCTGTGTGATGGCGAATGCCTCGCGGGCACGCTCAATGACTGTAGTGCTGTTGCGATAAAAAACGAGAACTGGCGGTTTAGCTTAAAGTGTAATTTTTCATATTGCGAGCTGGCGATTCTTGTTCGCAAACTTTCTGTTTATGAACGGGTACGACAAAACCGAAGAATCCGCTTGAACGCTTGGAGAGGAGCGGATCTCACCGAAGGCAGAAACACGAGGATCAGGATTTCCAAGTTTGATTTCGTGCTTTCCGTCTGTTCTGTTGGAAATGGAATTCAGCAGTACAGCGACGATGTCGCCGCCAGTGGTCCTTGGAAAAATGTTCAGTGCAGAAATATTTTTACACAAAAATACAGGCGTGGTGTGCAGCAAATGCTACTTTTGTTGTTGTTTTGTTTCACTCTAAAGTTCAGAAGAAAATCGACAAAAGCGGCCCGTACAATATAGGAGATCAGAAACACAGCGTGATCAATTTGACCACTTGATCGCGCGAGTGGTGTGGTATATAAGCGGGACCCAAGACATCCTAAGCATTATCTGCTTGCCAAGGGCCAATATCGTCAGTCGTTAGCTTTCTACTGGGAGGGGGGGGGGAGAGAACTTTCCAGCATAAACCGTTTAAAAGTATTCCAGCAGCCACGTAGCAATGTCACAATCGCGACAATGAGTCTCTGCTGCAATCCTAGTGCATGCGTATGATTAGCATCTACGACTCGCCCATCCCACTGAGTATTAGCATTAATCCCAAGAGGACCATTTTCACTTACAATTCACCACTTTTTGAACTAAGTCCACCACTTTCAAAAACAAATTCCCCATCACTTTCCAAATCAAATATCCACACTTTAGGGCAACTCACCAACCAGATCACGCCAGACACCACTGCGAGCCCCGACGGCTACGCCTACTTGTCAGCGCGGACATAGGTTTTCAAATCTTTTTTCACAACTCCTGCTTTTGCTGTTTCCCACAGACACTTTGACCTGAAACGACCGGACATTGACACATGGCCGACTCCGCCTATTCTCTAAAGGGTTTGACAATCTAGGCTCCCGCCCCCTTGACCACGCCCACTTGCTTTTTGCGGAATTTTGATTTTTCAAATTTTTGCATTTTTGGACTGCTACGTGAAGCCCCGCCCACTGTGAGAGGCTCCGCCCACTTCGAAGAAGCCCCGCCCACTTTCAAAATGGTGCAAATCGGCAGTATGGAGTCGCGGTTGGGATGCTAGGGCATTGCTGATCATACGAAACAAACTTTGCCTGATTTTCTTGTTATGAGTGACGAACGAG